GCTGGGCAGCTGTGGGATGTGCTGGGTGATTTTTGGGAGAAGGAAGTAGGGGTGACAGTGGTGGCCACACCAGGTTGTCCTTGGGTTTGCAGAATCCCTCTCTGCCCCTGAGTGTCTCAGTGCCACACCATTAATGGGCTGACTTTGCATTTCCAGTGGATCCTTGAGCAAAAGGAGTAAGGAGCTGGTAAAGCCTGGAGGGGCTGAGGCAGTTTTTGAGGCTTGCAGGATGCCTTGGGTTGGAATAGGAGACCAAAAAGGAAGTGTTGCTGTCCCTCTTCAGGGACCAGTGGACTCTGTGGTGGCAGGATGGGGGTGCAGGAGGCTCCTTGTGGAGGGGAAAGGGCTTTTGGCTGCAGCTCTAGGGAGGGGTTTTGGTGTGGCAGTTTGGTGTCCTCTTCTTCCTCCCCTCAGGCAAGAGAGGAAAGTGCAGATTGGGGCAGAGAGAGGTTTGGCTGTGGCAGGTCTGGTTTGGGGTGATTTGGTCCCTGTTCTCTTTCCACCTTGGACATGAGCACTGTATTGAGCTGTGCATTTGTCCTGAGTTCAATTGTCACTGTCCTCTAAGCTCAAGGGAAGAGAGGGATTAACTGGTGGAGTGGCACCTGTCACCAGGAGATCACAGAGCACTTGATAGAGGAAGTGCTGGTAGCTTCCCTGTTTTCCAAAGATTAAAACTGAAGAACAGAAGGAGTTTGGCACCTGACATTGGAAGAAAGTTTGTGAAGCTTCCAGCTCTTCATCTGTCCTGGTCTCACTGCTACAAAAGGAATGGGGAAGGAAACAGATGTTGTCATGTGTCAGAATGAGCCTCGAAAAAGTGTTTCTTATGCAGAAGGTGAATTCTGGGGAATTTCATGGGGCAGTGTGGATATCCAGCTCACTTCTCTTTCTCTCCTGACAGCTACTACACACCACCAGAAGACTCTCGTGGACAGGGAAAACGAGACAAACAAGCTGCTTCAGTGGTAAGCTTGAGTTAGTCATTACTTCACTTTGTTTTCTGGAAAATATAACTCATCTCTGAGTTATATTTTGAGATCCAAAATAAAATCTGAAGTGTAGAAATCAGAAATACTTACCTTGGTCTCACCTTGATACCTGCATGTGGAGGCTTTGCTGGGGTCCTGGATGTTAATCCAAGCCCAAGGAAAGTCCTGCCTCTCTGGGCACACTTGGAATGCAGTCACCACTCAAAGGTGACTTTGGGGTTTGCTGCTGGGATGTGTTTCCACAACCCCTCCCGGTTTCTTGCAGGATTCTCTGCCCTGTCCCCCAGCAAACCCCTTGTGCTTCTCTCTGACTTCCTGTCCTTGTCCCTGGCAGGGCCAGCGTGAAGCCAAAGTCCTCCAAGGAAAGTTATTTGAGTTCCATGTGACGCCTGTGCTGTCCAAAGACCTCTTTTTTGTGGACAGCGAGCCACTGGCGTGCCCAGGAAAGCCAGTAGATGACCTGGCTCCACTGACAGAGGTACCTGTGCTCAGCAGCAAGCCAGTGCTATGCCTGGTCCAGCAAAGGCCTGCAAGGCTCCTTGCTCTGGCACTGGAGCTGCACTTGGAGGCCTTCTGGGGGGCTGTTCCATGAGCCCTTCCCCACTGAATGCTTTGTTGCAGGCCATGGAGAGTGAGGTCTCTGCTGCCTTTGACAGCGGTGAGCCCGATGACATCCTGAGCAGAGCCTTCAAGCTGACTGTCACCCGTGAGGACATCTGCACCCTGCAGCCCCTGGGCTGGCTCAATGACAGGGTATGGCATCCTGCACTTGCAGGGAAATCCCACCTCCCTGGGCACAGGAGTCTTCCAGGAGCTCCACTGCAGAGCCCAGAAATAGCTGTAGACTCATTTTGGGTACTGTGTGGGCTGGTGTTTCTGGAAGCTTTCACTTGGATGATGCAGCTCCCAGGAGTCAGTCTGGGTTATCAGAGTGGGTGTGGGGGCTTTAACCAACAGCACAAGTCTCCCAGTGTAAAATTCTGGGAGCAAAAGCTGCCAAGCTGGACTTTTCTCAGCTCAAGGGTGACCAGCAAAGACATGTTGCTGTCTTTTTAATTTAGTGTCTTATTTCACATCTCACTTTTCCTCTCTCTGCTCCAGATCATGAATTTCTACATGAGTCTTCTGGTGGAAAGAAGCAAGAAGGAAGGATATCCAGCAGTCTATGCTTTTAATACCTTCTTTTATTCCAAGCTAAGCTCTGCAAGCCACAAGGGAGTAAAGAAATGGACCAAAGGTGTGGATATCTTTGAGCACGATGTCATCTTGGTACCTGTTCACCTCAGAACTCACTGGACACTGCTGGTAAGTCAAACTAGCTTTTTATTTAGGGATGGGGAGAACTAAACTAGCAAGCAAAGTCCTTTAGTGTGTGGGGTGTGCTTTGTCTAAGTCAGCTTTTATCCCAGGTCGTAGACCTCCGAGAGAAAACCATCAAATACTTTGACTCCTTGGGACAGAAAGGAGACCACATTTGTAAAACTGTCTTGTGAGTAGCTGCTTTTTTATCCCTTTTGGTGGTTTTTGAGGCCTTTTCCCCTCCCTTCATGAAATTTTTGCCCCTGTCCCATAGTGCTCCTCATTTCATACCTCTTCTGTTCTGCTCAGTGATTTGAATCCTCTGGAGTGTCAGAGCTGCAGGTTTTCACATGTGCTGTACATCCTGACATGTCTTTGTCAGTAAAAGCCCTTCATCCAGCAGCTTTGCAGGGCGAGAGCAGGAGAGCAGCCCCACAGAGACATTTCCCAGAATCACTGAGGTTGGAAAAGCTCTCCAGGGTTGTTGAGTCCAACCCATGACCGATCCTCCCCTTTTCACCAGCCCAGAGCCCTGTGCAGAGTCTTTCTGCCCTCCACCCAACTTGGTGTCACCTACAGAGGCCCTTAGGGTGCCAAATCCCCTGGTCCAGGTCATGGGTAAAGATATTACACAGGACTGAGCCCCACACTGGGCCCTGGGGAGCTCTGCTCACAGCCTCTCACTGTGTTTCTAAGATTGGGATTTTTTCTCCATGTTCCTTAAATCCACTGCTGTGAGGATCCTCTGGCATTTCACTGTGATTTATTTTCCTGTCACCTTTCAGCAGCTTCTTGTTGTTGCCCTAAACTGGGGAGATGAAAAGTGTGATTTTTGTGTTGTTTTCAACAGAAAATACCTGGAAGAGGAAAGCAGGGAAAAAAGAAACATTGAATTGACTGCTTCTGAGTGGACCCTTCACAGCATGGGCACAGAGGTATGGGAGCAATGCCTGGATTTGGAATGGGAGCTAGAACTCCTTGTCACAGAGGGTGGTTTAACAGTTTCCAGGCAAGCAGAGGAGAGAGATGATGTTCAGTTAACTGGGGCTATTCCTTGAGTTTGGGAGTGGTAAATGGATTATGGAAATAGGTTTTCAGGATTAGGTGTGGGTAATGTGTGCTATGACCAAATTGCTGCTCTTTCAAGACAGATAAAAATTCTCCATGTTTCTGTATTCCTCAGGAAATCCCTCAACAAAATAATGGAAGTGACTGTGGAGTTTTTGTTTGCAAATTTGCTGATTTCATCTCCAGAGACAAACCCATCATCTTCACCCCGGTGAGAGGAGGTGTAAACAACTCCAGCCTTTCCCAGAGCCAGGGAAGCTGCACAGCAGCCGTGGCAGGGGCTGAGGGTTTGTTCCTCGTGTCTGGTGTCTGCTTCTTGGGCAAGAGCACAGAAGTGTGGGGTCCCAGGGTGGTTTGGGCTGGAATGGACCTTAAAGACCATCTCATTCCATCCAGCCAGGCTGCTGCAGCCAGTGGCCTTTGTATCTCTTGGTGAAACAGGTTTCACCCTTGGCCCAGCTCAGCCCCTGGTTATTTTCCGATGCAGTGACTTTAATAAACGTCCCTGCAAAGAGATGTGGTTTTGTTGGGTGGTTGTGTCATCCTCATGTGAAACCCACCTTGTACCCAAATGGCAGGTGCTCAGAAGCAGCTTCCCCTTCAAGAATTCCCTGGGTTTTAACGGAGATTTCCTGCCTCTTTCTCCCCTGGCTTTCTATGTGATGGGTTTTTCCTGTTTCTTTTCAGGAACACATGCCTTATTTCCGCAGGAAGATGGTGTGGGAAATAATCCATCAGCAGCTGCTGGGAGACATGCACTGTTAGGAAAACACTGTTCTGTAAAAGAGTAGTATTTATTTCTTATTGTTTAGGTTAAATGAGATAAATATTAACTTATGTAAGAGCCTTACTGTATGGGAATGTGACTTGTTAATAGAGTAATTTATTTTTTAATTGAAAACTGATTTGGTGTCTGTGTGGTTTCTAACTTGCTCCCCATCTGAAGAAGAACAGGGTCTGTCTCCTCTCCTGCTGGCTGTGGGGACAGACAGCCCTGTGCTGCTCCTGACCCAAAGACCCACAAGAGCCCAGCCAAGCTACAGAGGAGCTTTGTCTGTCTCTGCTTTCAGTGATTGAACCAATCTGCCACAAACTCAGGGTAGATTCTCCAAAGGATGAACAATTCCAAAGAAACTCATGTTTAATCCTTACAAATAATTAATCAGGGAAAATTAATCATCCCTGAGGATGTAGAAGATCTGAGCATGAGGATGCAGCAGCTGGGAATGTTTTAGGTGTCCTTTACCCTGTCTCTTGGGTTCTCACTGTTTGGGGCCACAGTTTTGACTATCCCAGGTGCCACCAGAGCCACTCTCCTGTGCTGGAGGGCTGGGAGGGAAGAGCCCAGCTCCGGGGCTCATGGAAGGGAGGGTCCCTCAGGGTGGCACCTGGCAGCAGCATTCCTGGCCCTGCCCCCAGAGCCCATCCCAACCCCACTGGGCACCTTTCCCCACTGGCTGTTCCAGCCAGGGATGTGCAGGGAGGGAGAGGTGGCTTCATGATGGCAGCACTTCCCAGGTCCCAGGGTGCAACCACACCTGGCAATGCCTACAGCCCCACACGCAGGGAATTGGGCACCAGGGAGGAACTCCCAGCCACGACCACCAAAAGGGACCCCAAAGAAGACAACAGAGAGCAGGCTCAGGCTCTGGTTAGCTGGATATATTTCTCTTTTTTGTCGGTTGTTTTTCACAGAACACTTTGCAGTAGAGGAAAACACGGATTCGCAGCCCACAGGAGCGGTGCTGGCACCGGCACCTCTGCTCCCACCCCTGCTCTTGCCCATCGGCTTTCACCACTTCCATCCATCACTTGGATTTCATTAAACCCTTTTGTTTTTGTGTTTGGCTTTTTAATTTTTCCCTTTTTTTTTTTTTGGTGTTTTTTTTTTTCTTTTTATCCATTTCTCAAGCTTTCTCCGAAGGAACAGCCACTGGCTCTCGGTTTGCAGGAGACTACGGAAGAGCTCTGGGACACGGGGAATGGTTTCCTTCTTCCACCTCGCAGCTGACTTGGTCGAGATCATTTTTCCAACTCGTTTTTTTTTTATTACAAAAATAAAAAAATGCTCCAACTATCAGTTTTACAAGGCATACAAAAATCTCTAAAAGGGCAACACAAGCGCAAGGTGCTGAGGTATGAAAACCTGAGGTAGTTTTTCTCTGTGTGTGTGTGTGTGTGTTGGGAGGGTTATTTGGGTTATTTTTCATTTGAAGCCAATTTTGCTGGTTGGGTTTTCCAGCCCTGGGCTGACAACCTCTTGTAAATCCATTTTTTTTCACCCATTTCCCCCTCCTCTCCCTGCAACAGGGATCTTTCCCCAAAGATCCCAGTCCAAAGCGGGCAGGGCTGGTGCTGCCCTTAATTTTCCAGGGATGTCAGTGCTGGGCGGTGATGGAGAGAGGACAGACAGAACAGATGCGAATCCCGCTTTTGGAGTCAAAAGCAAAGAGGAAAAGGTGTGTGAAGGAGGGGAACAATGAACATGAGGAATCTTCTTGGCTCCTACAGGCCCTGCTATTCTCAAAGCCCTTCAGAAATTGCTTTTTAACAGTTATTTAGTATTTCTTTTTCCCTGCTGGCGATCCTACAGCTCTGCTCTACGGTGCATTAGAGAACCAATGAACCAGCTCCTGCCATTAAACCTCTAGAAAAGCCTGCTTTTGCTAAAAAACAAACAGCCCCCTCCCCTCAAAAAATTTAAAAAGGTGAGTTAAAAAATAAAATCTTACAAAACTTAAAAATCGGCGTTAGTTTTGTTACTGATATATTAATTCTAAATTAACGAGCGCCGCGGCCCCCTAGGCTGGGCGAGCTCCTGCGGGGTGGAATGGGCAGGTTTGGGGAGAATTCCAAAATAAAAACCACCTCTCTCTACCTGTGTTAGTCCAACTGCCGGGGGCAGGGCGGGGGAGGCGATGGAGTAAGGCGGAAGCTGCGGGATGGAGAGAGCCCCCCGTGCCCCGGTTCTGCGCTGCCGGGGGGCGCGGGGGTCTTTGGTTTGTCCCCTAACCTGCGGGGCTCCGGCAGTGGCGGGGGGTTACATTCGTCAGGCGGTGCTGGCGGGAGCCTCACTTGCTGTGCTGCGAGGCCGCGGCTCCCTCAGCGTGTTTGTGCTCCTGCTGCTTCACCTGCTGCACGATTTCCCTGATCTTGCGCTGGGCAGTCTGGAGAGGGGAGCAAGAAACGGGGGTGGTCTCACCAGAGCTGAGCCCCCACCCACCACAGCAGCATCACAACCCCACAGCTTTTAACACCGGGACAAACACGTGAGGGATTCTGTGATAAATGAGGGTGTGCTAAAGCAAAGGTTTGGCTTGTTCTTCCATCACCCAAGAGCCTCGATTTTGGGGTGCCCTCACAGCCAGGAACACAGCCTGGTTAGATGTACTGAGATGCAGGAGACAATTCCCACCCCGTGTCCAAGCCACAGATTTCGGCTGAATTGAGCCAATCCTTAATTTTAATGCAGCCAGAAACCCCTTCAGTGCATCCAGGGTGCACAGAAACCGCTCAGAGCAGCTCAGGGGATGCTGTGCTTGGTGGCTTTCCTTAAACTGAGAATGTTGGGAGAGCTATGGCCAAACCTTACCTGACTGGCAAAGAAATGCCCAATGATTTTGACAATGACCTCCTCGTTCTCGTCCGGAGTTTGGTCTCTGGGCACAATGACTTCTGCGCTCGTTAAGTTCTGCAGTTCGTTCACCTGCAGCAAACGACAAAGATCCAGGTTTCGCTGTGGAAAAGCCAAAATCCTCCACTGCTGGTGCCACCCCAGCTCTGAGCCAGGACGTGGCACCAGGCTGCCGTGGCTCACACCCTGTCCCCTTGGCATGCTTGCCACCCCCAGGACACAGGGCTGGGACTGAGATATCACTGATATCACGGAGCACCAAGGGATAGAGGTGATGGGAGGTAGGGGATGTCCAGCTCTCCATCCCCAGGGCAGGTGGGAGCCCACACACCCCCACCTACCGTCTTGCCACCTTTGCCGATGACACGGCCGGCGGCGAAGGAAGGCACCTTGATGTGGGCTTCGAGCTTCACTTCTTCTTTCGGGTTAAAGAAGTTTTCCTCTTTCAGCTTCCCAAATATTCGCCCCTGGGCCTGGAGAGGACACAAGAGGGACACAGCGGTGGTGGGCAGCATCCTGGAGGTGGCCTGATGTGCCCTTCATTCCCGCAGGCAATGATGGGCCATGGTCTGGCAGCACTAAAAACGTGGTCCCAAGCTGAGAAGCCCCCTGGCACGGTGGGGACCAAAGGGATGCTCTCACCCACGTGCCCAAGGCAGCCCCCACCCTGTGGCCACCGCACCTTGAACTGAGCCTCGGGTGGCCCCGTGATGATCACCATGCGCTCGCTGGCATCTGGACCTTCTGCCGGGGCGATCTGCAGAGGGACGGGGAAGGAGGGTGAGTGTGACTCTCCCCGGGCAAGACCTCCCGTGTGTGGGATGTGCCCCCATGCAGGGACACCCCCCGTGCAGAGATACCCCCCTACCCAGCAGTGGTGACGATCAGGAAACTGCAGGACTGGGCTTCCACTAATCTGGGGAGCAGAACCATTCACCAAGGGCTTCCCACTGCCCTCAGCAGTGGGAAGGAGAAACTGAGGCCCTCTTTCCTGCTCACCTTGATGGAGGCACCAGCAAACCGTGCTAGCTGCTTGATGTGCTGTCCCTTCTTCCCGATGATGGCCCCCACTGCCTGTGTTGGGATGAACAAGTTCACAACCTCCTGCTCCGGCAGCTGGAAAGGGCACGGAAGAGCCAGAGGGTCAGGGGAACAGCTGGATCAGGGGGTTCCTTCCCAATGCCAGCATTCCAGGCTTGAAGAGGTGGTGGGGTAGGTTGGGCTGGGTTGGGTTGGGCTGAGTTGGGCTGGGTTGGGCTGAGTTCTGTTGGGTCAGGCTGTGGTCCTGGCACACATTCCCTGCTTTTTTGACTGCCCTCCCACAAGGTGCCCAAGGAAAGACCTCATGGCAGGAGGTACCAGGGCACTTCTGGGGCAGGGAAACTTACGGGGTGTTGATGGGGGAAGGCGCTGGCTGGGGGGGCTCCGTACAGACTCGACAGATAGGCTGAGGAGCCCTGTGGTGGGAGAGAAAATGAGGATCAGTGACATTGATGACGTCTTCAAGGTGCCAGCCCCTTCCCAGACACCCCCAACCTGACACAGGGAGTATCACCACCATGAGCGACACAAGGGACACAGTGACCACCCCTGAAACCCCTCCAGAATGAGCTGCAGCCCAGATCCTGTGGCGCAGCATGAGGCTGGGATGTGGATAGGAACTCCCAGTTAACCCCAGTCCCTCCCCACTGCTGTTTTTTTGGCTTTGTCTTGCTAATGTTTGTATCAGAAAAAAGATCCCCTTCTGGCCTCACCAGGGGGGCTTAAAAAGGCCACACAAAACTCTGGGGTGAAGGACCCCACACCAAACACCGCTCCTCAGGAGACCTGTCCTCTCCATCACACCCATAAATAATTCCCACAGCTGTCTCCCAAAGGCTGTGATACAGGCACAGCACCCTCCCTCCACCGGCTGAGAGTGACCAACCAACCCTCCTGGAGCCCTCCAGAGCCACCACATCCCACCTCCCACATCCTCCCAGGCACTCACCGTCCTCCTCCTGCTGCTCTGCTGCTGGCATTCCAGAGAAAGAAAACAGCACAGGTAAATTAACCCACAGCTTGGAATAAATTATTTAGGGACTAACAGAGACAGTGCCTGGGTGACCTGGGATGGACCTTCTCCACCAGCACCATGGCCATCCCGTTCTCCTGGCACTGCACCATCCCTGCCCACCGTCACCTCAGGGGTTGTGAACATCCTTGCCCAGGTTTCAGCACCCCAAGAACAAGGAGAACCCTCCCCTGTGAGGTGGGGTGGAGACTGGCACCCCACAAGCACAGCCCCTCGGGTGCCAAGGCAGGGATCCAAGCTGCTGGTAGTGGATGCTCAGCATGGGCTGCTCGCCCCCTGCACGCCCCTGTGGCCACACCAAGGGGCTCTGGTGGCAACCAAGACTAGACCCACAGGGCACAACCCAGTCCATTCCATCACGATGCAGTGGTGGACCTGGGGTCAGGACTGAAGACCACATACGTGGTTTTTCCATGCTCTACAGAGAGCAGGGCCCTTGGGACACAGCCAGTCCTCAAACACTGGTGAAACCCAGCTCAGCACAACACAGGATGCAGCTGATCATCCCAGGGGGCTGCCAGCTTCATTCCCTGTCCTCTCCACTTTGCTGCTGCCATGAGCATCCTCCCCAAATGGCCGAGAGTCAGTGCTCCCCATGAGGCGGCTCCTACAGCTACAGTGTCCACCCAAACCCAACAGCTCCAGCAGGACACTCCAGACAGCAGGAACATCTCACACTTACTGCAAAGGGGTGGTAGGGGGTGGCAGCTGCAGCCCCTCGGGCCCCTGGGGTGGACGGGAGCATGGACAGCCCTGTGGAGAAGATGCCCAAAGCACTGAGGTTCAGTCCTGGGATCAGGTTGGCCTGTTGCTGGGAAAGGAAAGACACGGAGAAGGGTGTGAAAGGTGGAGTACTGAGCTTCTCAACACAGTGTGGATGTGATGGGTGTGGCCCAACCCTTGCTGTAACACCTTGACCTCCACTCTGAATTTTTGCCAGGCCACCCGCAGCAGGAGCAGGCACAGTGGGAGGGCTGAGCTTACGTTGACGGCCACCATGTCATTCTCGTAGGCCTCGCGCAGCTTCTTCATGATCTCCACCTCAGCGTTGGAGCAGGCCTCCGTGCTGCCCTTCACCGTGATGGTGCGCTCAGGGTTGTAGATGGTCAAATCCTGCAAACTGCCCCACGGGAAAATCCAGAGACATGGTTACATTCCTGCTTCAAATCAAGACAAATCCCAGGAGAATTCAAATCACAGCTGAGGGCTTCCCCTGAGACAGCGTGAGAGCCACAGGCCCTCCTTGGGTTGGAAGGGACATGAAAGCACACCCAGTTCAATCCCCTGCCATGGGCAGGGACACCTCCCACTATCCCAGGGTGCTCCAAGCCCTGTCCAACCTGGCCTGCAACACTTCCAGGGATCCTGGGGCAGCCACAGCTTCTCTGGGCAATCTACCACCCTCACAGGGAACAATTCCTTTCCACTATCCCATCTAACCCTGCCATTTCCCCTGGTCCTGTCACAGAAACTTACGGGGAGATGGTGATCTTTGTGCCCGTGTCCTGCTCAATCTTCTTGAGGTTGCGGCCCTCCTTGCCAATCAACCTCCCCACCAGGCTGTTGTGTGCCAGGATTTTCAAAGGAATCTCTTCTGCTCTAAAACAGATTAGAAAAATAAAATCTAAAGGTCCAGCCAGTCAGGAAACAGAAATCGCCAGCCACCGGTACTAAGGGTGTGTTGGAAAGGAGAAGGACCACCATCACCATTTCCCACCACGCTTTTGGCTGAGCCAGGAGCACTCACGATTTAGTTTCATCAGCCTCCTTCTTCATGATGTCCAGGATCATGCGGCACGCTTCCGAGCACCCCTCCGGGGTGGCGTGGATGGTGATGGGCTTCTCGGCAGCGCCGGCGTTCTCCTTCCGATGGATGTCAACCCTGTGGCGAAACAACCAGCAGAGAGGAGCCCCTGAGATGGGTCTGGTGTCACACAGAGGCTTTTGAGAGCTCAGGAGCTGAGAAAAACTCATTTCAACACTTGCTCAAGCTTTGGGGTGAACCTGGGTTCAGGTCCATCTACCAGCACCTGGCTCACGCAAGCCCAGGCAGTGTTTGGTTTTGGGTGGTTTGGATCAGGTTTGGGCCACGTTCGCCTGTAGGACCCGAGGTTCTGGAAGCTGAGGGGTATCACAACACCAACCAATGCATCGAGGGGGCAGAACAAATCCTCAACTGGACAAAGCCCTGAGCAACCTGGTCTATCGTCTCTGACGCCAGTCCCGCTCGGAGCAGGAGACCGGATTAGAGGCCCTTCCAAGCTCTGCCTCTCTCTGCGCAACACCCGAGGCTGTCCAGCGACCACGTCCTTCGGGACAGAGAGCACTTACCCGTGGGCAGCGTCTGTCACGACACGGAGGCACCCGGCAACAACAGCGCTGGTACTCACGCCCTTCCAGGGGAGACCAGAAGGCTCCCATGCGCACCGGCAGGGACCGTGCTCTACTCCTCTGGTCTTCCCTCAGCTCATGGCGGGAGGAGGCACGGCCTCCAGCTCGCTCCTCAACCGTACCTGGCAAAGCCCTGAGAGAGAGGGAGAGAGGAAAGCAGGGTAGGAGACTCCCGCACCTCAACCACGTGCCTTGGACAACAGGGGGAAGAACTTTTCCGTCTTCTCCGCGCGAGTCCACGCGCTCTTCCCACCGGAGGGTGATGCCGTGCGGCCGTCCTGCCATCGGCCACCACCTTGGTGTCCCTGTCTCTGCTGCAGCCGGGGCCAGATCTTCCGAGCGGGTGCGGTAGTGGCAGCTCAGCCACTCCGGAACGCTGCCAGTGCTCAGCTCCGACACGGTGCGTTCCCTCCGGCCACGTCTCCGAGGTCCTGTCCCGACGGGATCATCCAGGGTGCTGCTGCACGTGCCAGCCCCAGGGCTGGGGGCAGCCACCACACAGTGCCACACTGGGATGCTGCGGGATCCAGGTGGGTTTGCGCAGGTCAGCTCTTCCAGGAGCTCAGGAGCACGGACAGTGGAAGGGGAGCAGCTGGGTGAGAGAAGGGCAGGGCCAACCCCACCCACTCCAAAGGGAACCCCGGAGTGGTTCCATCCAAGCACTGAATAGGGAATTAACATGGTGTGATGCCCTTCGTAGGCTCCATCTCTCCAGATCTCCCGTGGCTTCAGCTGGTGCTCCCAGCCATGGAGCTCCCTCAGCTTGGCCTGGAGGATCCATTCCCAGCAGGTACAGGGACACTTGCTGCCACCCCTTCACTGGGGACAGGGTGAACGCGTCATAGCGGCCACGTGAGGTGGTGACAGACCAGGCTGATGCTCCCAAGGTAGAGGGAATCAATGAGGAATCCCAACAAACACCACGGATGGGAGCCACGCAGCTCCTTGGACCCACGAGCAGCTGAGGAGATGAGAACACAGCTGAGCCTTCGCACCAGAGAGGGACCGAGTGCCACAGAAGTGCTGAATGGAGGCACCGAGGCGATGAGGACCTTGGAGGAGCCTTAGAAAGGGGCACGAGCCAGGTTCCTGGCTGACCAACCCATCCCACCTTGGGATGTGTGGGCACGAGCTCACTTGCCAGAGAGAAGAAAGGATTCCAGGAAGGGGCAACTGCTTTCAGGCACATCCCACCCCAGACAGCTGGAGAGGGAGAGCTCTGGAGCTCCCAGCACATCCCAGTGCCGCTGCTGAACTGCTCCATTCCAACAGGAGGATGGAGAAGGGGACCTTCGATAGCTTCACCTCATCACCAGGTGCTGCAGGGAGGGATGTCCAGGGCTGGGGACAGGGTTTGCCTACAGTGCAGCAGGAAAAGCCTCCAAGAGACCTTATGGGGGGCTGGGAATGCTTCAGGGAGTGGTTGCCATGAGGGACAGCCCTCTCCAGGTGGACAATAGAGTGTGCCTGTAGGGTTATCCCAGTCCCATGGCTGCTGGGATCCTCTCGATCCTCTCCTCATGGAGTTCCAAGGGCTGTGGAAAGTCTCCGGGTGCGATGGGCTCTTGCTCTGGGTTTCTTCATGGAAAAAGATGGCTCAGCCTGGGGACACTTTTGCCTCCTGGGGTTCACAAGCATCTTTAGGATCTCTGTGTGTGGAACCAGGGGTGAAATCCAACGTGACCAGAGGAATCCAGAACCCAACGTCGCTCTGGGGAGGAGCAGGGGTCAGGCAACAGGATGTCACCCTCAGATCATCACACCAGTGGATGAGGGTGGCCTGGGCAGGGACAGAATGTGGGATGACACCCAAAGTGAAGGACAGGGGCTTCTGTGACTCCATGGCACTGGTCTTCAGGGCAGGCACAGGGAGCCACTCCACAAGCAGGGACAATTCAGTGGCAGAAACTGCTCCAAGCAACAGCATTTGGTTTCATGGTTGGGAGAAACTGGCACTTTCCCACCTTCCTTGCTAGGCTCAGGGCTTGGAAAGGACAAATTCCATTCTTGGGTGGCGAGGGCACAGCTACACCTGCTGCTCATCCCACCAGGACTCACCTGGAGAAGAGCTTGCAGCCTACCAGGATCTGCTCAGGGCTACCAGGTGGCCACGCCCTGGGGCGAGCCGGGCTCCAAGAGCTCCTCTCCCTACTCCTCTGCCCCCTTTCCGTACAAACCTCTTCCTGCCAACCCAGTGCCGGGGTTTGGCTCGTCTTTCTACCTACATCCACACTACTACCAAAGATTTGCCTCTAAAAACTCCTCTGAGAACTAGGATGCTCTGGGACAGGAGTCCTACGTCCCACGGGATCACCAGGTTCAGGATGATGAGCACAGGAGAAGACAGCTTTGAGTTAAACACAAACACACCTGGGCAGAAACAAACCATGCAGGAAAACCATGCAGAGAATGAGCGGTGAGATCAGGAGAACAGTAACAAGAGAAACATGGAAAACTTCGGCAAGACAACCCCACTTTTGTTTTTTTTTTCCTTTTTTAGTTCAAAAATAAGCATGTTAATAGCTAAAAAAGGCTTCAAATAGTTACAGAAGCCCATCCTTCTCGTGGCAGTGCTCCCACAGCATCCCTTTCCCTTCATTGGCTCTAGCCCATACAGGATGCTGCAAGATGAGCAAATCCCAAGAACAAAGACCACTGCACTGAGGATTCACCCTTAGGATTTTATCCCCAAACTTGCCATTTCTCCCTAAAGCCTCATCCCCAGCTGTTCTCATGAGGCTTTAGGAACTCATTCCAGGCCTTTTCCAGTGTGCATCCCCCTCTTGCAGCACCCAGACCACCCTGGCCAGCAGGAATGGTGCAGGACCTGAGCTCTGCCACCAGCCCCTGAAGGCTGCACCCCAAGAAATCAGCAGTGGCTGGCACTCCAAAGCCCCCAGTGCAGGGAGAGCCCGAGCTGGGACCTACAGCACCCTAGGGAAGGAAACAAAACCATTGGAAGTACTTACTTGGACTGGGTTTGCTTAGTAAGGTTCTTTATGGTCAAGCCCTCCTTTCCTATGATCGCACCAACAAACTGCGTGGGCACCAGCATCCGCAGTGGGAAATCGAGCTGTTTGGGCTGCGAGGAGCCCCCCGGGGAGGAGCCCCGCTCCCTGGAAGAGTGGCCCCCACGGCGGGATCGCTGCGGGGGCGGAGGGGAGCTCACCTCTTCATCCGGGATGTAGGAAATCTTGAAGGAATAGTTCTCAAACTGGTGGTCGCTCAGCTTCTCTATTGCTCTGCAAAGGCAGGGAGATGCAGGGGGCGGTGAGGGGCTCCCCGGGGATGGGTTCCCCTCCAGCATCTCCTCCACATGTAGAACATGGGACTTTCCCAACTTTTATCTTCCTCCCTGCCCAGTCTGGATAAAGTGGCCACAGGAAGCCAGAGCCCCACACTTTTCCCACGAGGAGAAATGTTTACCCTGGTGTAACCTGGTGGGACATCATCCCCTTCCACGTGGGTCATGCCAGAGCTGGCACATGACCTTTCCCCCCAGCAGAGGTGGGATGGCAGCCTTCCCCTGGGCAAAGTCCTGCCAGAAGCTACCACACAGCATGGGAATAGTCTCACAGGCTTCTTGGACGTGGAAAAGGTGACAGAGTGGCTCTGAGCCAGAGAGAAGGATGCAGCACGTGGTGGCCCCTCTGCTGGGAACCCCAGCTCCCTTCCCAGCTGGATGAGGCTGGCTGGCAGCACCTGGACCCTTCATCCCCCAAGCCCCTCCTCAGCAGTGACATTTGGCCAGGCTGGCATCTGCCATGCTTGGCTTCCCTGCTCCTACCACAATCCCACTTCAGCTACTGACAAATCACAAGCAGCTCCTTGCCAGTCCTGAATTCCACATCTTCTGAGGACTTCTGCAGCTTCACCTTCCCTTTCCTAAGTCCAAGAAAGCCTCTTATCCCAAAGCATTAAGCATTGCTATGTTGGGGAAACTCTTTGTCTTCCTTTATTGCCACAGCTCCCGAGACCACGGTGGGATTTTTGGGGCTGTCCTGTGCAGTACCAGGATTTGGACTCAGTGATCATTGTGGGACCCCTCCAGATCAAGGGACTCCATGATTCTAAGACACTCATGTCATGTTTATCTGTGGTCCACAACACAACCAGCCGAGGCTGGAGGCACAAGAAGGATTCTCCTCTGCCTTCCTGGACCAGCAAGTCACTGTCCCCATCTCTGTCCTCACTTATCCAGTGCCATGAGGGGTCAGCTCAGATGGGAAACTGGTGGAACATCCATCCACAAATGGACTCACAAAATCTCTTTGTGGCCTGGGATCTGCTCTTGATCATATAAAACATACCCTGGCCACTAATAATAATAAGCTCACTGGTCTCCAGCACAGGGCTGAAGTCTCTACAAGACTGGAAGAAAATGTTTTGCTTGGAACCATGCCTCCACATCTGAAATAACCCCTAATTTGTACTACCCCATCTCCCATGCCAGGGGAGAAGGCAGAAGACAGCCCAGTGGTGGGACAGCTCAGAGAAGGCTGGAAGGTGCCTGGGATTCCTTGGGAAAGCTGGTGTGGCGTGAAATTACGGGAAAACCAAAACAAACCCCACTCACACTTTTGCCTCCTCCTTGGTCGCGTAAGTCACGTTGACAACGGCAGTTTCTGTGTCTGTGTTCACTGCGGGGAGCAAGAGAAGCAGGGTTGGAGCGGGGATGGGAGAGGTGTCTCACTGCCCTCAGCATGCTCCAGAGGGGGATACAGCTGGGATGGGGGGAGGGAGGTGCCTGTCCCGGGCACCGCTGTGTTTCCCCTCAGCTCAAGGACTGGGATGGATCCAAGGGTGGATCCAAGCAGAATGCAAGGCTGGATATCCCCAACCCACCAGTGAATCCCAAGCTGCACTCAGCTCATTTTTGCTTGCAGGGGTAATAGTTTTTTTCAATTTTTCAGGGACCGGGAGCATTCCTGGGGATGGTGGATGGATGGCCCACATCATCCCACCACTGGACAGGAGGCCCCACCTTCACCAGCAAGGTTTGTGTCCAAAACCCATTTCAGACCAGTGCTGCTGGTCTGGTTATCCAGCTAGGTTTCATCCCAGTGGGCTTCCTGCAGCCTGGGTGGAACTGGGGAGCAGTGCTGGGAATTTTGCAGGGATGAGGACCGTGCTGGACCATCTCACCTTGCTCTACATTCTCCACCGTGCCGTACTGAGCTAAGAGGCCATCCAGCACCTGGGGACAGAGCAGCAAACCAGGCATGTGAGCCCCCAGGCAGACAGGGCAGGAGCCCACTCCAGCCACAAACACCCCCCAGCACCACCCAACTGCTCCAGTCCCTCCACCCACCTGCATCCCATCATCCCAAAGCTGACCCAGCGCTCAAAGCTGGCCCACAGCTCTGCTACCCAGAAGCAGGCAGGAGCTGGAGCCCAGTTCATGCTCCCTCCTGTGGTCACTGGGAAGTTAAAGGGTGGCCCTGCAGGCCACGTGCTCCAGCAGCACAGCTCACGCTGCTGGAAAAGGAGATGAAGGGGATGTTTTTGGGATCAGCCACTTCTTACCTCCCACTGTAGGTGGGGGGGGATGTTTCGGATCTGGATCTTCCTGCTCCTGCAAAGACAAAGCCCTGGATTAGGGTCTGTAGGCACCTCACAGCAGAGGGAAAAGCCTCTCTGGGAATCAGACAGCTGTTGTTGACAGATTTCCAAAGCATCCCACTTCCCCAAGCCAGGGCAGCTCATGCCCAGGGAAAGCCATTTCTCCCAGCTTTGCCCTGGTCATCACCGGGGCTGACGCTCTCTCTGGAATGCTCCCTCCTCATGCTGGCTGTCAGGTTTCCAAGGAAACCTCCTGAAAGGAGCCTCTGCAGAGCTGTGACCGTACAGGGATGCATGGACAGCCCTGCCCACGCTGCTCTGGGCTGGATGGCTGGGGGGCAGGCAGCCCCAGCCCTGTCACGGCCAGCCCTACTATACCTTGAGGGGAGCTCTCCAAAAGTACATCCAGCTGAGGACCACCACTTCCCAGCAACATGGGGCTGCTTTCCTTGGGGAAACCCAAATAAATATCCTCAGAGGCCCGAGCTTGGGGATGGCCAACACACCCAACCTTGTCCAGTGGCACTTCCAAACTCACGTGACAACATGGCTCACTCCCAACCTGGCTGTGGTTCCTTTCCCATCCTTGTTATGGTTGCATTCCCAAACTGTGGTTGCATTCCCAAGCCAACCATGGCTTCATTGGCAGCCTGGCTGTGGCTGCACAGGAAGCATTGCCAAGGCTTCCCAAGGGAAACAGCCCCTCAACATCTCCCCAGCCTGACTGTGAGATGTGCTTGGGAGCTCTGACAGGAGGATCCAGCCAAGCCATGAGCTCATCCACGAGCCACCCAGACCAGCATTCCCAATCCTGCCTGGAACCAGTCAGCTCTGACCACAGCACTGTCCCATGTTCTCACCTGGTCAAGCACCAATGCCCTCAGCAGAGCACAGCTGGACCACCCCTCCCAACGCCAGGGATGGCTTTCCTGACCAAGCCACCCCATGCCCACACACAGAGCCAAGTTTCAGGAGCTGAGCAGAAGCTGGAAGCTGGTTTTGTTAAGTTTTCCTTTTCCCTGGGATGAGTTCAAGGAAGAACAGGTCCCACCAACCTGGGAGTTCCATGGGAACACAGAAGCAGCCCCAGCTGATGGCCACCAACACCCAGGGACTTTGGGCCAAATCCTGCAGGACAAGGAGGACAACCTGATCCCACCAGGAATCTTCAGCCACTGGGAAACAAGACCTTCCAGCCCTGGTCCCTGCTCTCACAACTCATTGCACAGACAAACCCTGAGCCTCTGACAACAGCTTCGGCAGCTAAGGAGTTCCTTGAGTAGCTTGGGGCCAGACACCGGGGCCAGCAAGAAAAAGGCAGGGAAAAGGATGTTTTTTGAGATGTGGGCTGTCAGGGCAAGACAAACCCCACAGCTCATGGCATGAGAAGGACCATGGACAAGCAGGTGGAACCACTGGAGAGCCTGGTATCTCCTGGGGCTGCTGAGCCACAGTCAGTGGGACAAGAAACCCTGTGCTGGCATCCAGCTGAGCAGGTGTGCTCAGGAACAGGCTCCTGTCCCCAGCTGCCACTGGGGATGTCACAGCTGGGAATCCCAGAATCCCTGCGAGGGAAGGAGCAGGATTTGTCCTATCTCACCCCCAGCCATGCCCACACACAGCAGGAAGGAGGCAGGAAGGAAGGCCTGGCCCAAGGCAGACCCTGGCAGTGATGATCCTGCTCTGTTCACCAACAGCTCGAACCCTCCTCCTGCCTTTGTCACCCGTCCATGGCTGACGCTGCTCGCGGTATAAACATCCCACGGGGACCACTCCAGAAAATGGGATCTGTTTTATTGTTCAAACCCACCAGCATTTCCCAGAGGGTCTATTTTAAGATGCCCAGGTCCTGCCCAGATACTCAGCTCCTGGGAGACTGCTCCTGCCCGCTCCAAGTGACATATGTCACTCCTGAGATGATGGGTGGTGAGCCCAGAGTGCCTGAACAAACCCCAGCGCGTCTCAAACCATCGGAGAGAGCCGGACACGCTGCCCAGTCACTCCCACCACCCCCAGACCCAAACCAAGGGGGGTGGGTACCTTCAAATGCCACTGCACAGCTCCAAGCCAAAGCATCACCACAGCCACCCTGCTCTCTGTGTGGGAGCCATCCATAGGGATGCCCCAGGCTGGACCACAGAGGAGCCACTCTCCATTTGGGGTTCATTTGGCTCAGCCCACCTGGCACCAAAGCCCAGGAGCCCGGGGAACACAGGGCACTTGGAAGGGGCACATCCAAGAGAAACCAGCACAGGAGCCAGACACGCTCCCTTCGCCACTCCTGGAAAAGCTCAGCCTAGAATTTAATTGCTCCAGGGCCATAATTTCCCTACTCCTCTGCCAAGAGAGATGCCAGGGGAGATGCCAGAGCAGTCCTGGTCTCCCAAGGTGGTGCCTCACCCCTCCTGGCCCACCTCCCAAAACACCCAAACAGAAGGATCACAGCAAGCTGCCACATAACCCCAGCTCCCAACGGGACACAACAGCATATCCCCACTCCCAACGTCCACCCAAACCAGTGCAGAGCATCTAAAGACACCCAAAGGCACTCAGGCTTCAGCTCCCATGGGCAGGATTCCCAGCAGCTCATCACCCCTCAGCATTTAAGATAAAGTTATTATTCCTACTGGGTGTGCTTACAGCTCTTGTAACTCCACACCTGGTTGAAGCAGTGCTGGACCACACACAGCCATCACTGATGGATGTACATCTGGAGCCACGACAGATGGATGAGTTATTCCCAGAGCTGGGGCAGGGGCTGTTACTCTCCAACACCACTCCCAGGACTTTGTGGCAGAAACCCCCTTTTTATTTTGATTTTTGTTTTTATTTTAGTTACATTTTCACCACTCTCCCAAACCCCAGAGACTGACTCCAGGGCACGCACAGAACGCTGGCACAGGAGCTCCTGATGGCCACATTTCACCCACCCTGTTTTGCAGCAGACTGGTGGGGATTTGAAGAATGAAATAACTCATAATAACCAGCTAGGGGAAAAACACTCAACTGTGTGTGATGCAACTGGCCCTGCTGTAGCGAGTGCCCTCGGATAACCTGGAAAGCTGCAGCCCTCTGGTTCTTCCCTACCTCCACACACCCATACTGCTGCTCCAGCAGCTTCAAGGGCTGAAGGACACCAGGATCACTTGCTTTTTTCCCTTCTAAACTGATCCCAAACTAGTTCTGCTCACCAGCAGCTCAAGGAGGAAGCATCTCCTCCATCCCAGAGCAGGGTTTGGGTACCGGGAGCTGCCAGCAGCGCAGGGAGGATGAAGCAGTGAGTGAGGAGGTGAAGTGGGCTCATGAAATAATCCAGGATGGAGCTGTGTGCTGTTTCATGCATCCATTAGAGCAGAATCATGGGGCTGGCATCACAATCCTGCAGGGAAAGGGGATGGAAAACCCCCAGCCATCCACACGCCCTGCCAGCATCACCACTGCCACGTGCCTGCTACCTGCACTCGCTGAAATCATGCAGTAAAACAGAGAAGCCTTAAAACTTGGGGTTTATTCCCCAGAATCAGGAAGATCGAGGGGGTTTTGGCACATCCCCCACATTTTCCAGCATGGCTTCCTGCCCTCCTGTAACTTCCAGGGAAATAGTGGGTAACAAGCCCCTGGAAATCCAGGGACACAGAAGGACAAGGATAAAAATGAAGTTGTGAAATGAGAATGAGACACTCCCAGCTCCCTGCCCGACATCCACGAGCCCTTCCTGGATTTTCCCTGTTGGCCCCATGGAAAACCCACCCATCCCTCAGTCAAGGTGAAGCTCCAGAGGGGCTTTGTCTCCCACAAGAATTTGGGAACTCTAAACAAGCTGGTTTAAATATAAACTCTCTAATATAATAATAAAACCTCAGCAAAAATAATACAACAATAAAATAATACAGTAATATAATGCTATATAGTAATATCATACAATAATATAGAGAAATAATATATAATGGCATATAATTAATAGAGTGGAATACAAGGCATGGCTTCACCACTCTCTGCCCTAAAAAGCACAGATTTTTTTTTCCTACTCACACTTTGTAATATCTTACTATAATAAAGCTTAAAGGGATTTTATCACCTTCCACCTCAGATCAGCGCTGAGGGCAGAGAAAAAAATCCTCTGCCACCCCCAGTTTTCCATAAAAATCAGATTTCAAGAGAACTGGGGAAAGAAAGCAAAGGGAAAACATGCTGAAAAACCAGTGGGGGCTCTGCCTGCCTTATGAAATATTTGTCCCAGGCAAGAAAACATCTAGAAAAAAAATGATTCCCATCATCAGGCAGGGACCAAACTCTGTCCCAGCTGAATTTTCCAGACCCAGCAGCTCGGAGCCTGAGCCAGCCACAGCCCCCTGACCGGGCAGGGAAGGAAGTGGCTGCTGGATTTGCGATCGTTCATTATTACATTTATTTTCTGGGTCTGCAGGAGCTGTCCTGGAGGAGTTTTGCTGCCAGCCAAGCCCACCCAGCAGCGGATCCAGCGGAGGGGCAGCAGCATTAAAGAGCTGCCCCAGTTTCCAGCAGTGGCCAGGAGCGTGGAGCTGCTCCAGTTCCCCCTCCCGGCCCGGGGGCTTTGCCCTGACGCTCTTAAGGAATTAAAATCCCCGGCTGGAAAAGCCCCGGGCTGGTCCTGGCGGGGCTGGGGAGCAGCTCCAGCCTGGATCAACAATAGGGATGGACTGGGAATGGCAGCCCATCTGTCACCGCCCAGATTGAGGGGGAAAACAAAAGAGGGAATGGGGGGGGGGAAAGAAGAAGGTAGGAAAAAGGAAAGGGGGAAAAAAAAAAAAAAAAAAAGGACAGGAAAATAGATAAATAGGAGGACAGAAAGAAGGGGGGAAAAGAAAAAAACGGAAAGGATAAAGGGGATCAAAGATAAGGGAAAAAAGGAAGGAAAGGAAGGTGGGGAAAAAGGGGGAGGGAGGAAAAAAGAAGGGGGAAGAGTGGGAAAGAAGAGAGGTGAAAAAAGGGGGGAAACAAGAGGCAGAAGAAAAATGAAAGGGGAAAAGAAGAGGGAGAAAAAGAGGGGGAGAAGAAAGGGGAAAAAAGAAATAAGGGAAAAAGAAGGGGGAAAAGAAGGTGAGGGAAAAAGGGGACAGGGAGGGGAAAAGAAAGGGGAAAAGGAAGAGGGAAAGAAAGGGGGAAAAGAAAAGCAGAGAAGAAGGAAAAAAGAGGAAAATAATGGGGAGAAAAGAAGAAGGGGGGATAGGGGAAAGAAGAGGGGAGGAAGAAATGGGAAGAAAATAATGGAGGAAAAGAAGGAAGAAAGAAAGAGGTGGAAAAGAAAGGGGGAGGAATGAGAGGAAAAAGAAAGGGGAAAAAGAAAGCAGGGAAAGGAAACGGGAGAAAATAAATGGGGGGAAAGAAGGGACAAAAAATTCATGGAAGCAAAGACCCATGTGGAAAGGAATCTAAAGAAAACCAAAACTCAAACAGCACCAACTCCCAATTCACCCACACCTGCAAACAGAAATAAAATAAAAATAAAATAAAATAAAAATAAAATAAAAAAAATAAAATAAAATAAATAAAATAAAATAAAATAAAATAAAATAAAATAAAATAAAATAAAATAAAATAAAATAAAATAAAATAAAATAAAATAAAATAAAATAAAATAAAATAAAATAAAATAAAATAAAATAAAATCGGTGTCACCCCTCTCCAGAGCCAGCACTGGAGTCTGGGAAAAGATCAGCTCCAAGGGGATCCTGGCCAGCTCCATTGGGAGCAGCATCCCAGACCTATGGGAAACTGGGCACACATCCAGTGGGCAGCAGGAGGGGGTTTTCCCATCCTGGATGTGACCAACATTGCCCTTGATACTTCAAATGTATGTCTATATATAAATATATATATACATAAAGTCTCTTTTTCTACATAAATATGTCTTATAAAATTTTATATATTATACAGGAATATTTTGTGTATTTTATGTCGTTTGATATATTCACATAAATGTTTCATATAAACACACATAAATATAGAATCATAGAATAGTTTGGGTTGGAACTTTAGAGCTCATCTAGTCCATATATCTCACAGAAAAATATATATTAGAAGTATTTTTTAAATACATATAAAATATATATAAGTACCTTTTATATGGTGTCTTTATACATGTAATATGTTTTATTTATATCTCCATAAAAGATACCAAATACTTTAAACACACCACCATACATTATTAATTTGTATCAATAAGTAACATACTCTAAGTTTTAAATTATATCTGGTTTAGGATACAGGACTATTTTCTGCTCCCCGTGTGCATTTCCAGACATACATGGGGAAGTTCCAGGAGCTTTTCCTGCCAAAGCAACGGGAATTCCTCTCTGCTAATTAAGCAGCTCACTAACGACAAGCAATTATTGATAAGGAAAGCAAAGATGGGGTGTCCAGAGGAAGAACAAAGGGCCTGGATGGTTATCCCAAGCATTAACATCATCAGAATTTCTGGGTTGAAAAACAGAGGGAAATGAGTAAATAATCAATAAAGCAAAACCACGCCGAAATGAGAAGGGAATTGATGCTAAAAAGAGAATTATTTACGGGTAATTCCTTTTGAAACAGGAGAAAGTGCCATAAAATCACCCTCAGCAAAGCCACTCGAGCAGGCACCGGCACTGCTCCCCCTCCAAACACCTTTAGCTGGGGCAAAACCACCCGAGTTTGATACAATGAGGTATTTCTATATAATCATTTAATATTAGTGATCTCCAGGCTCCCCTCACTGCTCTTCACATCTCCCTTGGGCTTTCCTTTCTCATGTCTGAAAATTATGGCAGAAGCAGAAATTAAAAGGCACCTCCACAACCAAAACCTCCCCCCCCAAAAAAAATTTGGCTGGTCTGGGGACAATAACTGGAGCTCTGCTACTTTTTTAAACTCCTCATTTTTAATTCAATTCTTGTATAAAGGTCAGCACTGGGCTAGCTGAGTTTTCCTTCCTATTTTTCACATTTTAATTTTTTTTAAATGCTCTTTCTTTATATACCTTTGTATGTTTTTTCTTTTCTTTCTTTTCCATTGACATGATTTTTAAAAGATTTTAGGAATACTCAACCAATCCTTAAGGGGGAAGATGCTGCTGCTTCCCCCGTGGCCACAAAAACAAAATACTCTTGGAGTGGGATTGCTTCAAGCAAATAAAAGTATTCCCTGCTCCTGCTGAGTTTAAAATCAATTTTAAAAAGAACTTAAAAATTGAAAATGTTGATAAAAATATAAAGTGATTTTTTTTTTTCCCCCTTTAATTCCCCAAGGCACAAACAAACATTTACAAGGGGAAAAAAAAACCAATTGTGATTTGTTGGATAACTGTTGGATATTTCCTACAATATCCCAGATCATTGGGAAAGCAGCAGAAGGGCTGATTTTATATTTGTGGGAGGTGAATTGATGGACTGGGAAGGATTCAGGCTCCTTCCCACCACTGTCACATTTAATTTCTGCCTTCGGAGAAACAGAAACAACCCCTCTGCCAGCACCTCCCCTCGAGGAATTCCCTTCCCTACTTCACGTGGCCAAATGTCCCAGGGGTTTTCAAGCCAGTTCCTTATCCAAACCTATTTATATGGATACAAATAGATTGATAGCATAGATCTGGATTCGATTTTAATATAAAAATGAATCATTCCAGGTGTAGCTGGGCACGGAGGGAAGCTCTGGGCACCGGCACCTCCTCACATCCCCGTGACGCAGGAATGCCAAGGGATGAGAGCCAACCCAGCTCGGGTTCTCCAAGCCAAATAACCCCAAAATTCATCTCAGCAACAGTGGGGTTTTCACTGTTTCACCCCCTGAAATCGCAGTGTCTCCCCGGGACTCAGCCGCCACCATAAAAATTGGATTTTCTACAAATTTAAAGGGGGGGGGTGTGGAAATAAACACGGCCACGTGAGGTTCCGTCCCCTGCCAAAAATCACATTACAAAAATAAAATCTATAATCTACTGAGCCAAGGCACAGCCCCCCCAAACTGGGGATATTAACATGAAGCAAGGTAGATTTTTTTTTTTTTTGAGCCGGGCATAAGAAGATACCGGCTTAAATTAGATCTCGATAATCGGAAGAAATTTGGGAATAGAAAACTCGGAGCCAGTTTTTATTAACTGAACACAGAGCGATGTATAATAAATCAATATTTATTTCTGGGCTGCTTAAATGGCTTTTTTTTTTTTTTTTTTTTTTTTTTTTTTTTTTTTTTTTAATTTTAAAACTTGAGAGGAAGAGCAGGCGCACCCCAGCCCTGACGGAGAACTTAAAGATGAATTCCTTGTTTACATCCCCTGCTTCACGCTAAAGGTCGAGCCCTGGCTCCATACTATCACCCCAAACTCCACATTTCTGGCTCTTCCAAAGCCACCAGCAGCCCAGCGTGAGGTTTAGTTTGGAAGAATCCCACCTGGGCATTTCTGGGGGGGCTGGTTTGGATGGGTTATTTATTTTTTTTTTTTTTGGAAGGTAGGGAGCGTGTGATCCCTGGCGAAGACGAAATCCCACTCCGGCACACGTGATGCCGGGCACGAGCCATTCCCCCCCCGTAAGCCTCAATTACACAACAGCATTTCCAACCCCCCCGGCATTTCCAAATTAATACCCCGGCAGCAATCCCGGACCAAACCCGTGTCAACCTCCCAGCCCGGGCCAAGCCTCCGCGCCCACAGACACCAAACCACTCGCCCGGAGCGGCCCTTGGGGGTCCTTTTTGTTCCCTTTTATCCCGACACATACCGGGGGGAGGAAATAAACGCCACTGGGTGCCGGGGTTTGTTTTCCCCGAGGAACGCGTGTGTCCATCAGCCCGGCCTCGGGCACCTGATGGAAACGGGAGGGCGCGCTCGCCGCGATGCCTTCAGCACAAAACGCTTCGGGTCTGGGGGTTCTCCGGCCGGATAAAGGGAGGGTGAGGTGTTTGGAGAGGGAAAATTGATGAATTGGTGACTAAAAATAATACCCCTAAAGGTGCGGGTGGCTGCGCTGCTGGGAAAACCTCCGTCCGCGCCGCGGAGAGCGGGGGGAAAGGGGTTTTCTCGTGTTTTCCTGCCGGGAGCGGTGGGGAGCGTGGAGAGGGGGGCATCACGGGGGTGCCCACCCGTGGGAACGCGGCCGTGGGCCGGCAGCTCCGTCCCCCCCTCCCGCGCCGCGCTCGGGAGCGAAAGTAAAAGCGACGGGGCTCGGCCGCCCCCCCATCCCCCGCATCCCGGCTCCGGGAGCGCCCCCCGTCCTGCCGGGACGGCCACTCCGAGCGGGGGGAGGCTGGGGGTGACGGAGCGGGGTTACCTGAGCTTTTTGGGCACGGAATAATCCACTTCCATCACTTTGCCGTGCAGCTCCACTTTCCCTGCGGAGACAGCGGGGCGCTCA